AACAAAAAATAAAATTCAAGATGGGCAGATGTTCAAAAACCTTTTTAGTGTATTGATGAAATGATAATGTAAAAATAAACAACCAACAAACTTGATGGAGTAATGTTTATGTGAGGTATGTGTATGTCAGTGTTTTTATTTGACTTTCTGCTTGACCTTTGACCTTTTCTGAATTTGTACAAACAAAAAATAAAATTTTGTTTGTCTCTCACTTACATTTTAAATTTTTTTCTCTCCTTCAAAGACACCTCACACCGAAATGRRGGGGAACAGTTCTTCCTCATATTTACACTTAATACAGGGCTGCAGTGATTTTCAAACTGTATATTTGCTTTCCGTCACCTTCATGATCAGCAAGGTTTTCACCATTGRACCTTTCTCCGTCATCATCCTGGCCTTGGGTTACCGGCGTTGGCAGCGYCAGCGTTCCTTTCAGACAACCAGCCACTCTGACATCTTTACCTACAARGCAGCTGCTTTAGGGATATTTTRTGTCTTGGCGGCCATTTTRAACTTGTGTGGCTTTTACACTTATGTCTCCTGGGTTTTGACAGCGGGGTTTTATGTGGCCCATATTGTTTTACCTGGAGAGATTTTGCTTCATATTTTGACATGTGCTGAACGCTACCTGGCTGTAGTTCACCCAGTCATCTACCTGGGACTGAGACAGCCCAGAGGGGTCAAGATCAGGAACATCAGTATTGGGTGTGTTTGGCTGCTTTCCTTTGTATGGCTWGGTGTAATTGCTTACTTTTACCCTGGTTTTCCAGGTCCTGCATATTTGTGCTTGWTYACCACTTCTTTAGTGATTGTGTCTTTCTGTAGCCTCTCTGTTCTGTGTGTTTTGATTCGCCAAGGACRGGGGGTGGTAGGCGAGCTCAGGGAGCGGGCTTACAAGTCAAAGAAGAAAGCTTTCTATACCATCACAGCCATTCTTTCTGTTCTGGTGGTCTATTTTTTGGCAACGATTTTTAGCCTTGCTGTAYAAAACTCAGATCTTCTGGATGAAGGTGAAAAATGTCTGGCCCTGGTGTGTGCACAGTGGTTTGGTTTTCCTTCCCATTTGATTTTACCGTTGCTGTTTCTACATAGAGCAAAAGAAATTCAGTGCTGTTACTACTGTAAAACCTAAAATCAGCTTTAAATGTCTGCTGTTATTATTATTTTTTTGGTGTGGTCTTTAAAGCCTCCGTCACACAGGATGATACACCTGGTATGCCTCCTAAACCTCTTAGAATATCACTGGTTTATGAAAAATTTGAATTTCAACCATGGGTATCAC